CTTAAACGAGCTCTTCAGCAACCTATACTTGCTTTTACAAACTCAGTAGAACTTGGGAGCATCGTACGATTGCTCGGTGAGTACTCCATCGGGAGTATACTAATACTCCCCATTGCTCCCTATGCTTCTGTGTATAAGCATGTAATTTTGTATACTCCCTTTAACATTGGATGTCCTAGGAGGGGGAGTAATCCCTTTTACTTCCTAAACGAGCAATCGGGGAGCACACACAGAATTATCATCCCACAAACCTTCTAATGGAGCAATACGGGAGTACTCCCATAGTTACCTCCCAGAAACATCCCAAAAAGACAACAAGGGAGTGCACATAGAAAACATCCCATATTCCTCCCGAACGAGCAATAAGGGAGTGCTCCCATTAGAGGCATCCCGAAAGCCTCCTATAGGAGTAATAAGAGAGCAATGATAACAAACATTTTAAATTAGCCAAATAGATTTTGCTATTATTATTAAATTTTTTATTTAACTTTTTAATCACGTGCATTTGTGCAATTTTACAAGATCTTAACAGATATAAGTACGAGATCAGATAAAACATAAATGATACGTCTTACATAATTGTTTAATTTTAGAATTATATTGCAGAGAAATCATATGAAAGTAAAACATAATAATAACAAAACGGTAAGATAAGATTTGAATTATATGCACCTATATGCACATATAAGTATGTACTCGTATATGATTTCCTGGGTGTCAAGGATGCTTGCCTGTGCAGGAATCCACCAAGCGGGGAAATTGTGAAGGTGACTTTGCTTATCTGACATCTTTGTCACCCATGCGATGTTTAAACCCGGGGGTCACACTTAAATGCAAACACTAATTTGCGCAATCTGAAAAGTATTTAACGGTATATTTATAAGTAATACAATACTTAATATATTTAAACATACGTTGAGGTACATACCAACGGACTTTTATTAAAATCTGTGTGCTATCCAAATTAGATTATTGTGTCCTCCTTATGCGTCTATAAAAAAATATTTTCTGTTGGTTTTTTTTTCTATGATAAATTTTTCCGAAAACACAAAATTTATTTTTAACGAGGTGAGTATTGCTCTCCTATCAATCAAAAAGAATACTCTTGGATTTCTCGCTTATAACGGAGTACAAAACCGACAAATCTCGCTTATTACTCCCAAATCATGCCTCAGGGAGCATTCTTTAATTGCTCGCTTAGGAGATCTCTCATTACGCTGCTAAGCGAGCAATACAAGAGGACAAAAGCGACAAATCTCGTTTATTGGTCCCAAATCATGCCTCAGGGAGTATTATTTCGTCGCTCGCTTAGGAGATCTCCTATTTGATTCCTAAACGAGTAATAAAGGAGTACAAAACCGACAAATCTCCCTTATTCAGAAATCTCCTCTCATGGCGACTACGCCTGCCAACCATGTAATTAAAAAATCGCTAAATTTTTCGCCAATTTCTGGTACTTTTTTTAAGCACTTGCGCGCGGTTATAGATACCTACATACCTAAAACTTTTTTAACTATTTGGGATGAATTAAAAATAGAAAGTCCGTTATGTATATACTGTATTGACGCCGGATCCGAATCAGCCACCTAATATATGTATAAAATAAAGAAAAGCTGCTAAAAAGTCAGATCAAGTTTAACAACTTTTAGGGCCGTTTCCTCATTTAACCTTTAGATTACCGGCCACTTTATCGTCTCGATATACGAGTTTTCGTTTTCTCATCAGCGAATTAATTTCTCGAATTGATAAATTGTTGCTCACCCGATGCAACCTCTAAAAATGTGTACCCAACTTTAAATTTTGGTTCATGAGCCAGATATATTAAATATTTCAACCAAGGTTTTGGTTTTTGCTAACAGTTGCTCTTGCTCCATATTTACTTATGTTGCATTGCCAACCTTTGAAATTATATGACGAATGTAGTGAAGTTTCACTCTACGGAATAACAAATTTATTTCTACCGGTAACATAAGAAAACCAAAACACTTTAAAGTGAGGAACAATTTATCTGCCCTGTTAGTAAAGGCAACTTTACTGCTTACATTAGAAAATGGCCCTCAGTAAGTAAACGATACTTTGATAAATTTGTGTCGAATATACCGGCACACATAAAAAAATTAGTGTGATGTGCATTTGACCGGTCCTACCTATGGTTATGTATTTCGACCCGCAGAATTCGAATTTGAAGTCAGTTTGGCCAATATACCTCCTAAATTTCGAGAAAACTTCACAAAAAAAAACACGTAAAAAAAGTGAAAATTGGCAATAAAAAACGGTTTTTTGAAGTTTTCTCGAAATCTAGGAGGTATGTTGGCCAAACTGAATTCAAATTCGCATTCTGCGGGTCGAAATACATAACCATAGGTAGGTCCGGTCAAATGCACATCACACTAATTTTTTTTGAGTGCCGGTGTTATTAGTGCGGGAGCTTCTTCCGGCGAAATACCTTTAGGACTCTTCTTTGTCAATATGACCTCCTTAATAGCAGTACCTCCTTCTGGAGAAGCACTTAAAACTCATTAAGTAGCGTAGCTGAAGATCTAATTTTTAGTTCATTAGCCAAAAAGAAATAGATCTGGTTCGATAACTTTCGAAAGCTCATTAGCTTTCTTCATTTTAACTTTTTGGCAACAATCTTCAAAACTTTTAGCTGGCCCGCAGAAAATGTCGGCTTACCAAACTTAGAACACACAAATTGAGACAAGTCTATTTCAAATTCGAGCCAATCTTTATTTGCAGTAACAAACCGCTCTCTTTATAGGAAAACTTTTCCTGAATTCTGAATTAACTTCGCACGTATGATTTCAATTTAACAAATTTGATTCTATCACTAGATCCTAAACTGATATTCCCTGGTACAAAATCAATTATTCCATCGACTCTTTCATTTTTAGGGGTCGCCAGCCAAAAATCAAAAATTTCCTGTCTTGAAGTTTTAGGAGTCATTTTGAAAATTTAAAATAAATGTATGGGTGCCGCAGCTACCCGCAGAAATTTTTGTGGATTCTATTAGCATATATGTACATCAATTGAGAGAATAGGTATAGCAAGTGTTCTATATTCCGCCACATAAGAAAGATTTATTCTACAAAAACAAAAAATAATAATAATTTGGTACTCGCCAATAAGATTAAAACTTTATCAGCTCCAAAAAAAATATGTGCGTCGATAATTTTTCACATTTCCTGAATTTTCTTACTTAAAACAATGACGGAGAAAGAAATAAAGTTAAAACAAAGTTTCTTTAAAGATATTATTGAGCCTTGAAAATACTCAGTTTTCGTTGCACGCACAATTTCATTTTTCACTTATTGCTTACTATGACTTTTGGATACCGTTATGTTTATATGTAGCCAAATTTTTTCAAACGAAGTTGTATTTACTCTTAAGTAGACAATATTCTTGCATATTTGATAAAAATTTTATTGAAAAATTACAAACAAAAAAATTAATTAAATGACCCTAGCTTTGCACATTGGACCACTGTGCATCGGTTAGAAAACAGGTATAAACACATCACTCATTTGACGCGAAGTGAAAAAAGGCTGGTTTTCTTTACACTGCAGGTTTTAAATTTGAATTATTATTACAATAAATTTGAATTATCGTTCGCTTCCTTTTCGGTCAATCGCGCAAACTAATTAAATATTAAAGAAATATGGAAAAATACCACAAATTTTGTTTACTTTTGAATACGGTTCCAGCGAGGGAGCTATGAAGGCACTGGTATAAACTTTTGAGAGAAATACATGTGTTGAGTCAAATCGGTTTATTGTAAATGCGGTTCTTACATTGGTATAAACAAGGTAAAAGGGCCGGTGATCCGCAGAAGAAAAGTCGGCTGGTTTATCAATCGAGATGACTATGGGCAGATGGTCTTATGCTAAGGTCAGCATAGGTCGCCATGATACGCTGTTTATTAGACCAGCGCCGGCAATTGTTGTCTGGCGAGCTACAGCAACTGTCCATAATCCTGGTGGGTATGTGTTCCCCTACGATCATTCGACAGCCTTGAATGCCAAAGATCGTGGTTCGTGTTGAAGTCACCAACTACCATTCGGTTTTCACCTCTGAGGAGCGCACCTATCCTGCCGGGCAGCTGGTGACAGGGGGTATATATACGTTAAATATTTCGAGCTCGACATCGCCTGCCCGGATAGCAATACCCTGAGATTCTAGAATGGTATCTCTGCGGTCGGTGCAGTGTTGAATTGCCATGCAGCACAGCGCGGACCCTCATAGTCCCTCGTCCAATCTCGTCTGGAGCGCAGTCCTGAACATGCCCTAAAGTGACGCCAGCCAAGGAATGTGATGCACTTGACTGATGTAACGTTACGGAATATCCTGGAATGGCACACCGAGCAGATTGTCGGAGGAACCAAGAGTTGTTGGTGGCGGTGTGTGGGAGGTAGTGCGGTTGAATCTGTGGTGTGATCTGTTGTGTCTGTGGTGTTGTCAATTGTATTGTTGTTGTGATGTGGTTGTATTTGTGTTGAGTTCCACAGGCAGACTCTCATTTGCCGGGGAGGCAGCTCGATTTGAGCAGCAAGGGGCCACGTACAAGGTGGTCCCTGCCTGTGAGTCGTAAGGCCTGAGCGAACTCGAAGGTGACTCCACCCGTTACAAGCGTTGCACCTGACGGAGGTGGAGTTATAATGTAGTTGTCTCTGGCACACGCGGCAGGTGTAAATTTCTGGACCAGGGTTTGACTCGATGCCAGCCCTGATCAGAAGTATGCGAGGCAGATGTAGCCATATGGGCGTACAGCTTTTAAGGGGTTTCGCCGACCTAAACGGAGTTAGATCGCCGAAACAACAGCCCTTGGTCGGGTAAAACCCGAGTCATTCCGGTACGTAGCACCGGCTGTCGTGGGAATGGTTGTTGTTTGTTCGACATGTTTGCTTGGAATTAATCGTTGAATTTGAATTTGCTGTACACTTTCTTATAACAAATTACTCCGCCCTAATAAACATATTGCTTTTAATTACTCTAAATCTTACAAGTGACAACAGGCATGTGTTTTCTCGTAACGCCCCTACGCTTCCAGTAAAGCCAATGATAAATGTTATGGTACCCGTACAAATAAGTACAAATGCTGGATCTAACGCTATAAATGTTAGTTTGGCCAAATTACTAAACATGTCCTTCTCATTCCATGCCCAAATTCCTACGGCAAGCACACATAAACCAGCAGTCTGGAACAAATAACAAATAGACATACATACATACATATGTGTTAACATGGGCAGGCTATGACTGCCATTGTCTCACCCAAACGACTACGTTGCTGCTGAAAAGCAGGTATTTTAGGCAACAGCTGATCTCACTAGTCTCTCTGCGATATTTGCGTACGGAAGGCATATTTTGTTACTTCTTTATTATTAGAAATTAGACTGATTTTTACAATTGTTTTCAAAAAATTTGACTTGGATTAAATGCTACAACTTGCTTTCACTAAGCCTTGAAAACGTATCCCATGCAAGCCGTGTTTGTTGCGCCTTAATTTATCGACTGAGTTCCACTCTAGGATTAAGATAATTTTTAATCATTTTAATAATAAATTTAAAATATTGCCGTATATTATAAATTGCGTTAACACGGCAGTGCAAAAATATTTATAATAATTTTCTTATAAGATTTTTGCTTTGCTGTCAGATGAGGATTTCGCTTATTGGAACGAATGTCAGCGAAGAGAAATGGAAGTATTTACAGCAGTGTTGCCAAGCTTTTAAATTGAAAAAGCACTAAAAACCTAAATCGCGTTTATTCTCAAAAATATCACCAAATTTTCATGGGGGTATATAATGGACTTGATAGGCATACAATTTTTTTTTTTTGGTAAAAGTGCACTTTAGCGAAAAGAGGCCAAAATTGATGAAAAAGACGCGTTTTAATGAGTACAACAATAATCCGAGACCGGAAATTCGTATTTTTAATTCATTAAAGAGTTATTCGCAAAAAACACTTGCACTTTTCGCACTATGTTTTAATGAATTTGACGCAAATAAATGGAGTAAACGAACTCAACTGAACACATATTCATTACTTTTTATACATTTGTGATGTTTTAAGTGTACACTTTCGCGAAATTCTGTATTTAATAGCAATATTCCGATGCACGATCCAGAAAATAAAGGTCACGCCACTCGCGGGCCGCTAACCCTCTCTTCATCGAAATTTTTATTGGTGTATTTTTTTAAACTTTATATGAATACACAATTTTATTGTAAGGATGCCGATTCAAATTAATTAAATCAATGTTTCTTGCATGAACGAAAGACACAGGATCACGTCTTCCCGAAAGAAAGAAAAAAGTTACTTTCTAGCTGTCCAAATCTCGATGCCATCTTTGTTGTAAGAAGTAAACAACGAAGAGAACAAAAAAACCGCGTAATGGTTGAACGCATGAATAATCATTTTTGTTATGCGAATTCTTCTATAAATCATGTCGTTGTGTTAAATTATTCTTTACCTTATGTGTGCACACGTTGTCACAAGCGAAAATTAAGAAAATTGTAGTAAAAAGCCACCACCAAATTGTAAACAACGAACAAATGTAAATAAACGGCTAATGTCAAAGTCGCTCAACTTTTTTCCTAAATGCGATCATAACGGGCTACTAAGAAGAAGGCGTGATCTTCATGATCCAACTATACAAGATCTGACAAGATGAAGCAAAAGAAAAAAGTAATTTTCTGGCTGACGTTTGTAATTTCGGCGCCATGTTATTTTCTGTGAAAAGTAAACAAAGAATATGAAGACGAAGCATAAAGAAAAACTGCAAGCAATGTTGTGCACATGTTTGTGCTAACCAATTTATTATTTTTGTACGTATTTTTGCATCCAATCACCGCGCACTTCAATTTAATTACATTTGCACAAAAAATCACTTAAAAATCACTGAAATAAACCACCGACAAAATACACATAAAGAAAGAAGCAAAACTGAAATAGCAAACTTCAAAATTACGAACGGCACACACTTTTTTCTCAATTGCTATTACAAATGGCTGCTTCTCCACCGGTCAGATCTGTTCTAATTGCTTCATGCGTGATCTTGTTGTTGTTGCTGTTGTAGCGGCTACAACAACCCCGCCTAGATCGGCTGATATCTCAGTCGTTGTCGTCGAGTTCCACTAACGGCAGCCCCAAGAAGCGTGCAGCCTCTATGGGGTCAGTCCATAGGGACGACGCCGTTAGGGTTGTGGGGTTTTCCGGGCATGCGAAGAGATGTTTCGAGTCGTGAGGGGTCTCTCCGCATGCCGGACATTCGTTCGGCACATCCGCATTTAACCTACACAGGTAGGAATTTAGCCTGCTGAAGTAGCCAGAGTGAAGTTGGGCTATTGTCGTTCTGGTCTCCCGAGGCAGATGGAGCTCCGTCATATCAATGTCCGGTGTTTGTGTGCCTAGAATGGCATTCACAGGTCTTGAGTCTACATAATTCGAGACTGCGTCCCTGTGAATGCCGTTCAGGGCCTGTGTATGAGCTGACGGGTCCAGAGGCTGCTTAATGAACCTCTGGACTCCGTCCGTCAGTTCATATAGATGCCTCCTGATGTGCCTCGGCGAGGGATCCTCTGCAAGCAGCTGTCTATTTGGGTGGCCACATCTGTGGCTCCCAACAAGAAACTGCTTGCAGAGCATCGTGTTGTGCTCCCTAATTGGGAGCATTTTTGGCTCATCGTTTAGGTGGTGTTCTGGTGACATCAGGAGGCATCCGGTCGCTCTCCTAAGTGCTGTATTTTGTACCGTCTGTAGCTTCGTCCACTGCGTCCTACTAGTCCCCGGCGACCACACTGTTGCGGCTTTGTACTTTATTGACAATAGCGGTTGTGTGCGCAGAGAAGGAGGGCATGCTGTCGAATGTTACTCCGAGTATTTTAGGATTATTCACCGTCGGAATTGGTATGTCATCGATGTGAATTCCTAGCGGTAGGCTGACCTCCTTCGTCCAGGTTTTGAACAGGGTCGCAGAGGATTTCGTAGGGGAGAGGGCTAGACACTTTGCAGTGAAGAAGCGAGAAAGGTCAGAGAGATATCCGTTTACTTTCGCACACAGGTCATCAATTCCATTCCCAGTCGCCATGATCGAGCAATCGTCGGCGTAAGAGACAATCGAGACTCCCTCTGGTGGTTGAGGGAGCTTTGAAATGTAAAAGTTAAACAGTAGTGGGGAAAGGACACCACCCTGTGGAACCCCCTTTTTTATTTTTCTAAGTTTGCTCGATTTGTCTGTAAACATTACCGACAAGTGTCGACCACTCAGATAATTTGCCGACCACCGTTTGAGCCTCTGTGGGAGAGAGGAAGCCTCTATATCTTCTAGTAGCGTGGAATGGCTGACAGTGTCAAAAGCCTTTGACAGGTCCAACGCTACTAGAATCGTTCTCTCACAGGGACGTTTACAGTTAAGGCCACGAGTTATCTGAGTGTTTATGGCGTTAAGTGCTGTTGTTGTACTGTGCACTTTACGGAAATCATTCTGATGCTTCGCTGGGGCAAGCGGTTTGTGAAGTACGGGAGTAGCAAGGCCTCGAGTGTCTTCGCTACCGGGGAAAGGAGTGTCTGGGATTAAGAGAGTGGCCATGGACAAATTGAGGACCTCCGTTAGGTACGCTACCCCCGCAGGACCCAAATTTTTCAGCATCAGCATGCATATTCCGTCGGGACCCATGGCTTTGGAGGCTTTCGCCTTCCCGATGGCCACCTGAACTTCACCGCAAGTGAAAGCAAGGGGGCACAAGTTGTTGGCAGTTTATGCAGCCTTGTGGTCACTCGACGCTTGGTTTTGTCCACCGGAGGATGCAGTATGAACTGCCGGCTAAAATAGCTCGCGCATCGCTCCGGGTCCGACGAAGCATGGTCGCCGAAAGAAATTTCGAGTCTGTCGTCGTGCTTCGTCGGATTGGACAGTGACCTCATGGTTGACCAAAGCTTACTCACACCAGAGGTGAAGTTACAGGTCTTCAGATGCTCCTCCCACTTTTTCCGCTTATGTACGTTTACTAGTTGCCGAATCTCCGCGTTGAGATCCCTAATACGGGGATCGGCCTGACGAAGGCTGTCGCGCTCATCGGCTAAAACAGCCGCTTCGGCAGGGAAGTTTGGACGTGGGTCCGTTATACATCCTGCCGGTATGATGCGAGCTGCAGCAGCAGTGACAGCCCTGCGGAACTTACGTTCACCGAGATGGACGTCGGTTGGTGTGGGAAGCGCAGTGAAGGTATTTTCAGTAAACTCCGCGTAACCTTTCCAATCAGCTTTAGAGAAGTTGATATAGGTCCGGTGTTTAGCGGAGGCAAAGTCGGTTGGTTTATCTATCGAGATGACTATGGGTAGATGGTCTGATGCTAAGGTGTGCATAGTTCGCCATGTTATGCTATTTATCAGACCAGCGCTGACTATGGTGATGTCTGGCGAGCTGCTGCAGTTACCCAAAATCCTGGTGGGTGCGTCGTCGTTCATTGTGCAGAATGTCGAATCGTCTATCTGCTCAGCCAATTTTGTTCCCCTACGATCGTTTGACAGGCTTGAATGCCAAAGGTCGTGATGCGCATTAAAGTCACCTACTACCATACGGTTTTCACCTCTGAGGAGCGCACCAATATCAGGGTGATATCCTGCCGGGCAGCAGGTGACAGCGGGTATATATATGTTAAATATTTCGAGCTCAACATCGCCTGACCGGATAGCGATGCCCTGACATTCTAGGGTGGTATCCCTGCGGTCGATGTCTGCTTCGATAAGACGATACTGTGCGGTGTGGTGCGTGATGAACGCTAAGCCACCACCATTATCTCGCTCGCGATCTCGACGGTGCACGTTGTACCCGGCACAATTCAACAATGTTGAATTGCTGTGCAACTTCGTCTCTTGGACCGCAGCTATCAATATACCATGCCGACACATAAAGACGGTTATCTCCTCAATCTTGCTCTGTAGCCCGTTACAGTTAAATTGAAGGAGCTTCATGTGGTTCGGGAGACGTGTTGTGATGTGGGGGTAAGGTATGTGTGTGTTCTTACTGCCGTTGGCTGTGTGCGCTGCTGGGATGGTTGGGGTCTGCGACCGAGCAGCGCAACACGGGCCCTCGAAGTTCCTCGTCCAGTCTCGCGTGGTACGCAGACCTGAGCATGCCCTAAAGTGGCACCAGCCAAGGCAGGTGTTGCACTTGACTGATGTCACATTATGGAATATCCTGGTCTGACATACCGTGCAGATTGTAGGGGGAACCAGGAGTTGTTGGCGGCGGCGTGTGGGTGGTGGTGCGGTTGTGTGTGTTATGTGGTCTGTCGTGGCTGTGGTACGGTCTGTGGTGTTATTATGTTGTTGTGTTGTGGTGACTGTGTGAGGCTGCTCGGGCGGACTGTGGTTAGCCGTGGAGGCTGCTCTGTTTGAGCAACAGGGGGCCACGTACGACGTGGTCCACTGTCTATGTGTCCGTAGTCCCGAGCAGACTCTGAGGTGACTCCACCCCTCGCAGGCATTACACTTGACTGAGGTGGAGTTGTGGTGTAGTCGTCTCTAGCATACACAGCAGGTGTAGGTTTCTGGCCCTGGGTTTGACTCGATGCCAGCCCTGAGTAGGAGAAAACGTAGCGATTGTAGCCCTATGGACTAACAACTTCTAAGATACTTCGCCGACCCAAAGAACGTAAATGTATAAGAAGCGACAACTCGTTACTTTGAAAATGTGCCGGGACGATTTTGACCGTATCTGAAAGGTTGAGATGA